TTTCAAAACCCAAACTTAAGATAGTAAAATTAGAGGTGTTCTACCATGAATACATATGCAAATCATTTACATGCCCAAAGACCCACTTTTCTTGCTAATTTCATGAAATTGGTTCCAAGATGAGTTGAAATCATGATGCATGGGAGTTAGCTGCAAAAATATGCTCAAGACTCTTACCTAGAGCTTTGATTTCAAACAATAAGATATGGACTTCCCTTAGCTCTCTTCTTCCCCTTCAAACCACACAAATGTAGAGTTTTCTCTCTCTAGAGTGAGCTAACCCTCTCTCTCTGTCTAAGGTGAACTCTCTACTCAAAGAAGTAGAAAGAACAAGAAGAATGTTGCCTACATTCCTTCACGTTTCAGCAGATATACACAACACTCACACACTCCCACATTCGAATGAATAACACGTGCACACACATGTACTACTCCAACACATCCACAAGAATTAATCCTCTACACTCAACACCATCATAAGCCTTGACACATTGTACACTTAATCACATCTTGAATCATGAATAGAAGTAGATTAGGCATAAATCATGCATCATCTTATTAAACACAAGTAACCTTAACTAATCATGGTTAGCACCTGATTCAATTAACCCCAAGTCGTTCTAATTAAGGCTTAATTCAATCACATGTGATTTTACTGAACTGAACCAATTTTTTTTATCAAAATTTCTCATATGTTTTCAAATATTCCAATTAGTCACTCCATGTACTCATATTCAGTTTCTGAAAGTATTTAAGCTATCAATCTCGGGTTTAGAGTAGAAATCATAATAGATAATTCTATGAATAACAGATAGAAAGCCAAATAGCACATAAAGTACACAATTAGCACATAATTCCCTTTTAAACACTTGTTAACATTCTAAATTACGGGTTAGTAATTAATTATGGATTGGGGTCGTTACAGTGGCAAATCCACGTCTTAGCCTACTTGCGAGTAGCACTTTCAAATCATTTTCAAACAAACATGAGATGTTTTGTTCTAACTTAGGCGATCTAGTCTATAATTGTGTGTTGTACGCATCACATAGTAATTCTAGGCTAATAACCGGAATAAGAACGCATGTGTTTTCAAAAATAAGATATCATGTTAGTAAAGGCCGATTTTTGATCGGACGAGCGGGAGTGCTCATTGCATGACCTTTCCCTCTCGTATCCAAGTTCCCGAGCCGAGGCAACTTTGGTGATGATGGACACGTGGCCTTAGGCACGAGTCAAGGTTTCCTAAATTTTTCCAAAATAAAATATTTAGGTGGCGACTTTGTATCTGGCAAAGCAGTTCATATTTGGTACTTCTTTACAAAAATCAATTTTCCAAAACGATTTGCCGGATTTGGACTCTTTGGTGATTTGTCGGTCTTGCATTGCACTTTGTAGGATTTTCAGAACCGTGACATTGAGTCCAAACTGTAGTAAGCCTAATGAACAAAACGGATTTTCGTGCCAATCTCGCGCGCGGAGTCATGGCGTTCAGACACGTCTACAATATTGTCAATGAGCAATGCAGTGGGGCCCTAGATCCAATCAGCCATGATTTGTTTGTTTTCTTTACTTAGCTTTTTCAGACATGGATATATTTTAAGGCTTGGTACTCTGTTTGGAATTGGATAGCTTTTCGTTTTGGACAAACAATAGCATACTTTATTGTGTTTATGATTTGCATGACAAGTTAGAGATATGGATATAATTGGTTTTGGCCCTCCATTCCAGTTATTAAATTCCAAATTTTTTTGTTTTCTATTTTTTTATTTTTTGCATCTTTAGTGAATTTTTTAAAATTTTATTCACAAATATTTAAATTTTGTGCATCTAAATATTTTAAAATTATTATAATTTTTTTTTAAGAATACATAATTTTACCTTATATAAATAAGATGGCCCTTAGTTTTGAAGGGAAAAATTCCCTCCAAAAGTTGGTGTAATTTAATAAATATCATATAGTTAAAGGGTTAATATGGGAAACTTTTTAAACTTAAGGGTTCGAAATGGGAGAAGGAACTTAAATTTTGAAATTGAAATGAAGCTGATGTGTTGCTAACATGGCAGATCCGTTAGTTTTTTGGATGAAAGTTAGTCTAGGAGTAAAGTGAGAAGAATTTCAAACATGAAGGGACAAAGTGAGAAAAATAAAACTTAAAGGGCCAAAGTGGGAAATGGGTGAAACTTTAGGAGGGCAATGTGTAATTTATCCTAAAATAAATGATAAGTTTTTAATTTTATCAATTTAAATTTTAAAATTTTGATTTTTTTTTTAATGTAAATCATTTGTCTATTTTCATCAAAATTGATAGAAAAATTAGTATCTTAAAAACCAAAGTCAATAATAAAAAAAAATACTATTTTAGATATTTTTTTTGTATATCCACACTAACTTTAATAACTGAAGTACTATTTTTTTTTTTTTTTGTTAATTTTACTCAACAAAAATAGGCATAATGGATTTTGATAAAAGGCTCAAATTATGGGTTTTTTTTTTTTTTTTTTTTTGTGTAATTGCCCAAAAAAATGTGTAATTTACCCTAAAATAAACAATAAGTTTTTAATTTTATCAATTTAAATTTTAAATTTTTGATTTATTTTTAATGTAAATCATTTGTCTATTTTCATCAAAATTGATAGAAAAATAGGTATCTTAACAACCAAAGTCAATAAAAAAAAATAGTATTTTAGATATTTTTTTGTATATCTACGCTAACTTTAATAACTAAAATACTATTTTTTTTTTGTTAATTTTACTCAACAAAAATAGGCGTAATGGATTTTGTTAAAAGGCTCAAATTATGGGCTTTCTTTTCTTTTTTTCTTTTTTTTTGTAATTGCCCAAAAAAAATGCCTTTTGATCTATGTTAGAGCATCTCCAATCATTCATTAAATTTGAGTAAAACCAAACCAAACCAAACCAAACCAAATCAACCCTTAAGTCCTATCAAATGAAGTCGATTACATGAATCTTTCTTCTTCATTTCGTTAGTCAAATTAAGTAGATCCATATCTCTATTTACAACGCTAGCCAACGTTAGTCTAGGCCTACCCGATCCCTTAACACTTCCATCTACCGTCACTGCATCGCATTTCTTCACTACTACCTCTATTGGTCTCTGTTGAATATAACCAAACCATCTCAATCGATTATCTCTCAACTTATCATCTATCGGTGCTACTCCTACCTATTCTCGAATACACTCATTTATAATTTTGTCTTGTCTAGTTTTGCTATACATACACCTTAGCATCCTCATCTCAACAATATTCATTTTATCTACATGTTATTTCTTGGTTGTCCAACACTCCGTCATATACAACATCATTGGTCTAATAGTCGTTCTATAGAACTTACCTTTTAGTCTAGTGGGTATTCGTTTATCGCACAGTACCCCAGACGCACTTCTCCACTTATGCCATCCCGCCTTAATCCTATGGGTCACATTCGCATCAATCTCCCATGCCGTTGTGATAATCGACCTCCAATAACGAAAATGTTCACTTTTAGGCAGTTTTTGGTTCTCAATCTTCATTTCTCTTCTGCTTTCAATGTTACTGTTACTAAATTTACACTACATATACTCTGTCTTAGTTTTGTTTATTCGGAATTCTTTAGATTAAAGTGTTTTTCTCCAAATCTCTAACTTTGTGTTAATTCATTCTTTAGTCTCATCCACTAACACGATATCATCTGCAAAAAAAATACACCATGGCATGCCATCTTGAATATTTCTCGTCAACTCATCCATAACTAACGCAAAGAGATAAGGACTTAAGGTAGATCTTTGATGTAATCCTACACTGATGAGAAATTCATTTGTTTCTCCAGTAGGCGATCTAATATTGGTCACTACCCCTTCATATATATCTCTAATCATATCAATGTAACATTTTGTCATCCATTTCTTCTCTAATACTCACCATATTATATCCCAAGACACTCTATCATATGCTTTCTCAATATCGATAAACACCATATGAATGTCTCTTTTATTTTCTCTATACTTTTCTTTTACTCTGCTCAACAGATAGATCGCTTCCGTTGTTGACCTGTCAGACATAAATCCAAATTAATTCTCTGACATCTCTATTATATTTCGTAATCGGCGTTTCATCACCCTCTCCTACACTTTCATTATATGATACATTAGTTTGATTCCTCTATAGTTGTTGTAATTCTCGACATCTCTTTTATTTTTATAGATTGACACTAAAATATTCTTTCTCCACTCATCTGGCATGTTCATAGTCAACAAAATTTTGCTAAATAACTTGATCAACCAAGCAATCTTTTTTTTTTATCCAAACGCTTTCGAGCTTCAATAGGGATATCATCGGATCCTAAAGTCTTATTTGATTTTATCTTCTTAAGTGCAATCTCTACTTCGAAGTTCCTAATCCTGCGATGGAACATATAGTCTTGGTTTATCGTATTACTGATTATGTCTTCCCTATTAACGTACCTATATGTTCCTCATTTAATAGTTTCTCAAAATAGTTCTTTCATCTCTCCTTAATCTTTTCATCCTTTACCAATATCTTAGAATTCTCACTCTTGATGCACGTAATTTGATTAAAATCTTCTGCTTTCTTCTCCAGCATTTTAGTAAGTTTGTATACTCTCTTTTCAATTGTTCACCAACTACTATCCGTAAAATTTGATAAAAAATTTTCTTAATTTGATAAAAAAATATACCTCTTCTTATTTGATATTAAGGATTGGTTTGGAATATTCTAAAAAGTGCACTTTTTTACTTATTGGCTTATATGGGTTGGGTTTAGGTTGGGTTTGATGTGATGTGTTAGAGAAGTGATGTGATTTAAATAAGATGATGTGACTTAAGTAGGATAGTGACTTTTTAACTTTTTGTATTATTTAATTTATGCCAAACCAACCCTAACTTAATGAAACGATTTCAACATCATTTTCGATAATTAAAAAAAAAAAAAATCAAATTTATAATGAATGACAGGAATCTTTACCTATAGTGCAAATCTACCTCATTACACCTGTTTTCTTTTCACACCCTCTATCATTCATTACACTCAACCTTCAAACCCTAACTCCTCCATCTCCATCTCCATCTCCATCTCCGACCACCGCCCTACAACCTCTGACCACCACGACCACCACTCCTGGAGTCGCCCCATCGCCACGACTAGCACCTTCGCAGCCGCGATCTCCTCTTCGCTTCCGCGACCTCCTCTTCTCTGCTTCGAACCGAACATCCACAGCCGCCCTACCTCATCTTCATTGAACCCGTATTTTCAATTCCAGAAACAATGTAAGTTCAAAACTTTTCTTCAATACTCTGCTTTTGAAAGACACAAAATTGCACCTTTTTTTTTTTTTTTGGTGTGACTAAATTTGGGTTTTTGAATGACTATCTGTTCTTGGTGTTCTGACTGATTGATGAATTAACATTGCTTCAGGGGAGCTGTTAAATTGGAACTTCGGTGTCCGCAAAGTGTTGGTGGAGTTGTGATTGATCCACACCCTGATTGGAGTTTCGATTCTCTCTTATCAGAGCTCAGTTCTATAGAAAAGAGGCTCAATTCATCTTCACCATTCCCTTTGCCTTTTACCAAAACAAAGTTTCGGTATTTTCCATATTTACTTGTTTTTCATTTTTATTCATTTGAATTGCCTAAATTCTTTTCTGCCTAGTGAATCTGAAATTGTCTATTTGTCGGTTAATGTTTTGCTTGTTTTGTTTTCAGAGAAGTTTCTTCTGAAAAGTCTGTTGTAAAGGGGGGCTTTGTAATGCGTGTTGATGAGACAGAGAATGTTGAAGAAGATATTCAGGAGGAGGATCATGATCGACGTCTGGTTGCGGGTAGAAGATTTACCTGTGATGAATTTTATATCAGGTGCTGAATTTTATTACTTGCCTGTTGTTGATACACTTTGTATGTCAATACAATCATAAATTATCACGAGTTTTAAAAGATATGAAATGGCAGTAAGCATGGATAATTCACAGGGAATGTAGTATTGTGGAAACTGGAAACATAGAGTTTCATGCCAGGGTGAACCGTTGGGTCTGCATTGATAAGAGGGGTATTGGTTTAGGGTAGGGGTGCAACTCAGGTGTGTTCGGTCGGGAAGGGAGGTTGTCCAAGCCTAGTTCAAGTTCTGTTGAGACCTACCCTTAGTTGCACGAAGCGGGAGCGGGAGCGGGAGCGGGAGCGGGAGCGGAGAATCGTGAGCCGATAGAAGTTTCTTAGGTTGGGAGCGTCTCAGGGAGCGATAATATATATATATATATATATATTTTAATGCACATTAGAAGTTTTTTTATAAATATTTTTATTTTAATATACATTAATTATTTTATTTATTTATTATATTTTTTAAATAATGTATTATTGTTAATTTATTTTTTTATTTTTAATTGATATATATTATAAATAAAAAATTATAATAAATAAGGAATAATAAATTATGTTAAAATAAATAAAAAGAAAAATTAGATATTTTATTTTATAATTTTTTTTATTATATATGGTTTAATTAGATTTCTTTTAAATAATTGGATGATTTATATTATTTATTATATGTTAAAAAGTTAAGAAATAATAATTTATAAAAATTATTATTATATATGATAGCTTAAGAAATAATAATTAAATATTTTTTTATTACATATATAATATATGATAAATTATATATATTGTATATTATATATGATCTAGACGAAGAGAGAGAGTGAAGCGAACAACGAATAGAGATGAAGAGGGAGAGAAGCGGAGACGAAGAGAGAGAGAGAGAGAAGCACAGAGAGAGTGACGAAGACGAAGACGAAGACGATCGCGAGAGTGACGAAGATGATCGAAGCCCTTTCTCCTCTCATGTCGACGTCGAAGGTTAGGGTTTCTCTCTCTCTCTCTCTCTCTCCCCTTTACGATCCCATCTTGGACTGAATCGCGTTTCTCTCTCTACAGAAACGTGATTCTTACACGTTTCTTTTTAGGAATCGCGGAATCGCGATTCTTATTGAGAATTGTCACCTAGTTGCACGATTCCTGCAACTAAGGACCTACCCAGACCTGAATTGTAACCCGAGGTTGTCTGCCTAAGCCCGATCCAAGTTAAACCGGAATTGCCCAAGAGAGGTAGGAACTCTTCTTGAAACTCCAAATTGTGATAGAAGGTTTACAGATCTGAGGGACTTCCATTTTTATGTCTCGAATAAGTCACTGGATGACTCATCAAGGAATGAAATCCTTTTATGATTCTGCGTTGCTTGTTGCATCAAGAATAGCTTCCCGTTCTAAACCTTCATCATAATATATATATATATATATAAGGAAAGAAAAATTAAGAAGTTGGATAAGGGAAGTAGAGCTCGAAGAAACCCTGACAATTGTCTTAATTTAATTAGATATAGGTATTGTATTTTGAAATATAATGTGAATTGTTGAACAGATCATTTTGTTTTTTTTTTTGTATTTTCTTCTCATATGAGTCTCTTTCTATCTCTCTAGCCTTAAAGTGATGCTCAAGTGAACAAATTTGATGTTGAATTATTTATATAATGGGTACCATTACCTGCTTATTTCTTCTTCCATGACAGTGATGATTCTGAGGATGAGTCGCCACACGAAACCCAATATCTTTTGATGGAGAAAGTGGGATTGGTAGAAGGCGCATTGTCTGAGCTAACTCATGAACATCGGCTCAGCATCACAGTATGTAACATTGTTCATTCGTTTTGTTATTTAGTTCACTTTAGATCCTTGAAAGTGTATGAGTTAGCGAGTAATATGTGTGCCCAAATCTCAAATTAGTCACATATAAACTTGAGCTGTTTTGTGTGTGTGTGAATGTATGTTCATGTTTTTGTTTCCACCTCAGTTCTTATTGGAAGTCTGTGGGAGTGAGACAAGGTTGCTTCATTAAAGTGTCATGGATGTTCTAGCTGCTTCATGTCCATGCGTTTTGGCACTTGTTGAAGATTTAAGACTTCAATGCTACCCGAGTTGCATTTATCCAAAAAAAAAAAAAAATGTTACTCAAGTTGCATTAGAAATTGACTATAGTAGGTGACCTGTGGATGAGTGAACTAACTCATAAGTCATAAGGTTTCCATCTAGTTTTAGTTGAGCATAGTCTGCATCTCATAGACATGTATATATGTGTGTGTTTGTGCATATGTGTGTAGAGAGGGAGATAGAGAAAGAGAGTTTCTTATGCATTTTACATCTTTAAGGTGATCAGCAAAGGCAATCAATTGATGGGAAGGTATTTTCAATGCCATGGGATAATTATCAAATTCCCAACCAAATGTTGTTCTTTTTCCTTTTCTTTTTCTTGCATTCCTTCTTTATTACTTATTTAAATACTTCAAACTTTTTACACCTCCACTCAACCGTCATGTATTTGTTGCATGGATATGGGCATGAGACATGGCATGGACATGACACCATATGCAGATGTTGACATGGTTTTTTCTGAAAAATCGGACGCTGACACATGAAGGTCACAACTACAGGGTTTAGGAAGTGTTACAAAGGTGTCAATATCCTGCACTTGTTGGCATAGTTACGACTCCATAAATGCCTGTATCACTAAAGACCATCCAATTCGTGCAACTCCTGCCCCCAACCATGGTGTGTTCCACTGCCAGGGTGCTTAATACCTTAGATGATTCAGTCCCTCTCACAAATCATGACATTGAATGTTAAAGTTGTGTCCTCTTTACTATGTGAAGTCTTCTTCAGTGTCCAACCAGAATGATGGGCATTGGTATGCTTTTATAATAGGAAACTCTCTTTTTATCACTATCCATAGAGCACAAATGCATCTTCCTCTGTTGCAATTAGCCTTTTTTGTTTGTGCATAAATTCCCTAACTTAACTGTGTTGATTAACAGGAGGAAATTAGGAACCAAATATTAGCATTGGAGACAGATCTGCTGAATGAAAACAAGAAGTTTACTTCTTCACTTGCTCAAGTTAAGAAATATACTGAAGCACGGAGGGAAATGCACAGAAAACTTGATATGCAGTATCAACGCAGGATGTAAGATCCCCTATTCTGATTCTTTGCACAACTATACTTTTATCAGTTGTTTTTTCATTGCCCTGGTGTTCTGTTTGCTTGTTTAGTATGATCTATGGTGGACCAAGGAAAGGGTTGGCCACCCCTCTGCTGCTAGAGGAATCCACAGTCAATGTCACTTGTGCCGAGCAATGCATAGTTGTTGATCACCTCTTGTTTTTCCTGTGTAAAAGGGAGCAAATGATTTTGGAACACCCTTGAATTCCATCTCGAATCTCCCCTACCTTCATCTCTTACAAAGATTCTTAACCATGGATGAATTGAAACAAATTCATGCACATTTGATCACCTCTGGCCCTGCTCGTTTCAGCTTCACCACAAACAAAATCTTGGTCATTGTGCACTGTCTGGAATTTCCAACATGAACTGTGAAGAGTCTTGATTTTTGGACAATGTTATGATGCTTATATGATTAGTTCAATTATATACTTGCACTCAAAATTTGGAGCATGAAAGTGGCATTTTTATTTTATTTTATTTTTGTACTGTGAATGTGGCTTGTCAAGTGTTTGAAGAAAGTTCAAATCGAGATGTTTGACCTGTAGTGATGCGTTTGTTGTTGAGGCTAGTGAAATGTTTGATTGAATGCACAAAAGATATGATGTTTCTTGTAGTGGAATGGCTTCTAGGTGTGTGTGGAATTAGGCATCCCAATGAGTTAATTGAGTTGTTTTGTAGTGCAAACTTTTGAATAAATTTAGGCCTTGTTTGGCAAAGACTTTTTTTTGCCTTTTGGACTAAAATTCACAAAAAGACAAAATATGCTAAAATAGCCAATAAGACAAAATGTCACATCAAACCCATAATCATTTCACTTTTCTTTCACAAATATCACATCCAACTACCAAAATATCCAATCATTTTCCCAAACACAAATATTTTAACCTATTAAAATAGCCTACTAGAATAGCCAACTTCCCAAACGAGGCCTTAATAGGGAATTGATGTCTCTATACCATGGATCAGTTAATGGCCTAAGGCAAAGATTTTATCTTTTGGGATCTTCTATGGTTTAATATGACCTTTCAGTGCAAAGCATAATGAAACAACAATCTTTTTGGTCGGAAACAACAATCTTGATTCTACCAATGAAGTTGTGTCTATTTCTAGCCGCTACAGGAACTTTTGGTTCTCAGTTTCAATGTTGGAAAATCGATTGTGGTCTGTAACCCGACTCGTGTTTGAATTGCTGGCTAAAGTCCTGCCTTAGAAATTTGGAGGCAGTTCCAGGATGTCAAGAAAGGCCAGTCAACATTGGCATCACTCACTTCTATAATAAGGAATTACTATATTTGGTGAAATGTGGCAATTGATGGATAATTGAACATCAGATCTGGTTCCTCTACAAAAATGTTAGGCAGACTGATTTGGTGTGATATATTCAGGTATTTGTCCAGTGATTTACCTGCAGTTAATGTGTGAAACAAAGTCAAGGAAACCAATGCTTCAGTGTCCTATATGGAAAGATTCAACGGTGAAGATGAAGAACAGATCTCTCCAAGTAACAAGAAAACATTTTGCAACACGCATAGCCTGGGATCTTTTGCACTGCTGGTGTATCGGGAGCTATCCTCAGAATTGAGGATTGAACAGAAGATTATTATTATACAGCTTGATGAAAAATCTGAAGGGAGCTAGTGGAGATTATAGAGAGGAATAGAGTGCAAAGTTTCTCGTTGAAGGTCGATTTGGGAGGAGTGAGCTGGGCTGTCCAAGCGCTTCAGCAGTTGGGGTCATGCTACAGAGGAGGATCGTTTTTTAGTATCATAGCAGTTCTGCTGTTTCCTGTTTACATAAGTGTACAAATAATAGGAGTGTCTTTGTTGAGATGTCGAAGTGGGAGGGAGGTGTTAAAAAAGGCAACATTATTCTTCCAGCGGTATATAATGGTCGTGGGTGGCTAGACATTGCTACAATGCTTCGTAAAGTCATTTGCAATGATGCCAGGGCAAATTTCTAAGGCATGGAAGTCAGGGCTAACTTCACAGAAGAAATACAGAGCAAGGACACAAAGGAGATGTTTATGGATAGGAAAACAGGGGTGAACAGAGATAGGAAGTTTGTTGATTTGTTCACTGTGAATCGACTGAGTAGTTTAAAGAGTGATTTGGAGAGGGCTGTCGTATGCACAAGATGTGACTTTTCAAGTAGCTAGGATCAAATTGAAAAGAATTTAAGTATTTAAAGATGACTATTGCTCTATGACCATTCCAACTCAATCGTGTTTTGTTCTGGGCTAGTAATAGTGAGGAGGCGAGCCTTCTAGGAGCAAAGGGTTTGAGATTCTTTGATAAAGGTGTGGCAGTTGGATTGGAGAAGTGGTCCGAGGAGATGAATGTTAAACCAAAGGTCATCGTCTCTTATGGAGGGTGGATTGCAGTGTGTGATTTGCTTTTTACCCTTTGGAATGATCAGGTTTTCCAGGACATAAGAAAGAGATGTGGTGGTTTGTTGGAAGTTGATCGAAGAACCATAGCTCTGGATAATCTTTTTGAGGCTAGGTTGAAAGTCAGAGGCTTCGACTCTGGTTTTCTGCCGGTGTTCATGGAGGTGAAGGTGGAAGGACGATCTTCAATGGTGCGTTTGAAATCTTTGTCCAAGACAGTGCGCCGCCAAGTGGAAGCGTGGCCAAAGGTTTTCCGACCAGCATCTTTAGGCGATCCTATTGCCGCTGACAGGGAAGCCGATGGGGCAGAAAGATCAGGGAGGACACATGGAAGCTTGGAAAGGGGAAGTCGAAGGGGCGAAGGAGTTGAAGGGTTTGGGGACAGCTTCGGTGCTGTTGTGGAGGTGGGGGGAAGACCAAGAGATAGGGGGATTAGAGCGTTATTGAATGGGCCACAGATGGGGCATGATGGGCCGAGTAATATTTTGGGCTCAATTGATTTACTAAATGTGGGCCAGGAGATTAATTATCAGAAGTCCAATTCTGTTTTTCCAAGGGATGGGCCATTTTCTAAACAATATTAGGAGTATAATGCTGGGCCTCAAAGAAGTGATGAATTCAATCCCAATGAATTGGACCCAGTGGGTTATATGAATGGGGCTCATATCTTGGAGGAGGGAATTCGGGCTAAATTTCGACCACTGGGAGCTGAATTTCGACCCGATTTGTTCGACGACGAAGAGCGACCACTTAGAGAGAGAGAGGTCCAGCGACAGCTGTCATCTGGGACGCAAGGAGGTGTCGATGGTGAAGGTGATGTGTATTTACAGAGGGATAGTTAGAATCAACTAACGCAGGATGAGATTCAGCTTGGTTTAGCTGATAGGGTGGACGACTCTGTTGAAGGAGAGCAGAGATTAGCGACGGAAGTGGATGAATGGGTGGATGAATGGGTTGATGAAAGGATCGAAGAAGAGAATGATGCTGAATTGTTGAGTCATAAGGTGGATGAAGGGTGTTTCGAACCTATTGAAGTGTTGCAAGCCCTGAATATTTATGGATCTGGGTCTGATGAGAGTTCAAAGTACGACTCTGGTTCAGGCCGTGAAGGAGATGATCAAGAAGAATCTGACCTTGAGCTTATTAATCTTTTTACTAAGAAGGGCACAGTTAAAGAGGAGGAAATTGAGAAGGGCACTGTCAAGGAGGACGAAACTGAGGGGGTCTCCGAAACAATGGATCATGTCAGTGACTGTTAATCATGGCTCTACAGAACTGTCATCACAGAGGGGTCACATTGTTATTCTAGATTCTTTTTCTCTTGGGGATGGGATAGGGGTTTCTCAGTGTCTTGGTCTTAAGTGTTCTATCAGGGGAATGACTAATAAAGGAGTCACTCCGGATATCTCGGGAGCCATGAGGGATGTTTCTACCATTAACCTTGTGTCCTATAATGCAAATATAAATGTAGGCCAAGTAAATGATGCTCAAGAGGGAGCTTTTGTAATGCATTTGCACAACAGAGGCTGTGTTTTTAGTAGTTTGAGGGATAGTGAGGCAGAGACAGAGTGTTGGTTGATGGAGTTAAGCAAGTATGCGTCATGTCCAATTGAGGAAAATGAAGGACCCCATTTCAAGCATTTGCTTCAAGTTATGGGGCTGTCCCTAGTAAGTTTAAATGGGAGGGGTGATGTTAGTGGATTGGATAATAGTGTCACTAGGGGGGAGAGTACTAGACGAGGAGGGGTTTCGGTTAGAAAGGGGGCCAGGGAGTTAAGGAATTTGGTGAGTACAATTCATTACGATAGAAGGCATGTGGAGGTTAGGGGTGACAATGATTATCAATGAAGATTGTTAGTTGGAATGTGAGGGGTTTGGGATCCCGAAAGAAGAGGGGGATCATTAGGGGCTTTTTGAGGAAACATCAACCTGATATTGTCATTTTTCAAGAAACTAAAGTAGAGGTTTGTGATAGGACCTTTATTAAAAGTATTTGGGGAGCTAGGCATAAAAGGTGGGCTTTTGTATCATCAATGGGAAGGTCAGGAGGTATTGTAAGTATTTTGAGATGAGAGGGTTGTGTTAGAGTGTGAATCAGTAGTTGGTGAGTTTTCACTATCAATTAGGTTTAGGAGTCTAGATCTCAATGAGTGGTGGTTGTCGGGAGTATATGGTCCAAATTGCCCTTCTAGGAGAGAGGATTGATGGGATGAGTTTTATGGTTTATTTGGGTTATGTTCTCCTAATTGGTGTTTAGGAGGGGATTTCAATGTGGTTAGGAAGGTTTTAGAAAAGCTTAATGGGAATAGAATCAATAGGAGTATGAGAGATTTTGATGGTTTTATTAGAGGGTGCGAGTTGGTTGACCCTCCTCTATTTAATGCCAGATTCACATGGTCTAATTTAAGGGAAAGGCGAGTATGTTGTCGACTGGATAGATTTTTAATTTCTTTGGGGTGGGAGGGGGTTTTCCCCAATGTCAGGCAGGAGGCATTACCAAGACTAGTATCTGATTATTGTCCAGTGATGTTTGAGAGTTGTCCTTTTAGGTGGGGTCTGGCTCCATTTAGATTTGAGAATATGTGGTTGGAGCATCATTCATTTAAAGAGGCCTTTGAGGAGTGGTGGAATACTGCTACATGTCAGGGGTGGGAGGGTTATAGATTCATGAGAAAGTCGAAGGTGATTAAAGAGAATGTGAAACAGTGGAATAGGGAGGTTTTTGGGAACTTGGAATCAACTAAATGTCAGGTTTTGCGAATGATTGAGGAGATAGATACTTTGGAGATGCAAGGGAGTGAGATTGAGGCATTGAGGGGAGAGAGGAGGGAGTTGGGTTTGAAATTGGAAGAGTTGACTCTTAGGGAGCAGATTTTTTGGGTACAAAAAGCAAAGGTGAAATGGCTAAACGAAGGGGATGTTAGTTCAAAATTTTTTCATAGAATTGCGGATGGGAAAAGGAAGAAGAAGTTCATTAAGCGATTGGAAGTAAGACCGGGTGTAGTGGTGGATAGAGGAGCAAATAGTTCAGGGGATTTTTTATTTTTATTCTAATTTGTTTCCGACGGATGATATTGTCAGGCCTGGGATAGATGGGCTTGCATGGTAGCCTATTGATCAGGAAAGTGCGACGTGGTTAGAGCAACCTTTTGAGGAAAACGAGATTAGGGAAACAATTTTTGAGTGTGAAAGGGACAAGGCTCCGGATCCAGATGGGTTTTCGATGGCTGTTTTTCAAGATTGCTGGGAGGTGGTGAAGGGGGATTTGGTAAGAGTTTTCATGGAATTTTATGAGACAGGGGTGGTTAATGTATGTACAAATGCCACATATATCTGTTTGATTCCTAAGAGGGATGGAGCCATTAGAACGGAAGAATTTAGACCCATTAGTTTGATTACATCACTCTACAAGATTTTGGGTAAGGTATTGTCAAAAAAGTTGAGATGTTCTTTAGGGGATACAATCTCTCAGACACAGGGGACTGTTGTGCAAGGTAGACAGATTCTGGATGTGGTTCTAGTGGCAAACGAGGTGGTAGAAGAGTGTTGAAAGTTGGGGAAGGTAGGCATTGTGTTTAAGGCAGATTTTGAGAAAGCATATGATCATGTAGATTGGCGTTTTTTGAATTTCGCGATGAACAAGAAAGGGTACGGTGCGAGATGGAGATCTTGGATTAGGGGTTGTTTGGTGTCTTGTAATATGTCGGTGATAGTTAATGGGAAACCAGGGAAGTGTTTTAAGGCCTCGTGAGGGTTGAGATAAGGAGACCCTTTATCTCCTTTTCTATTCATTTTGGTAGTGGATGTGTTAGGTAGGATGGTTGACAGAGCTAAAGAGGTAGGCCTATTTGAAGGCTTGCAAGTTTGTAGAGATAGGATTAGTGTGTCACATCTGCAATTTGTGGATGACACTATTTTCTTCTCTACGGGAGACGAGTGCCAAATGGCAAACCTTTTTTTAGTGGTAAGGCTTTTTGGGGCAATTTCAGGGCTTAAGGTTAATTTAGAAAAAGGTAGGGTAGCAGGTATTAATGCTGATTCAAGACTGATTCAGAGTGTGGCCGATTTACTTGGATGCGGGATTAAGACATTTCCTATGAAGTGTTTAGGCCTCCCACTGGGAGGTAACCCAAGAGGTGAAATGTTTTGGAATCTAGTGATGGAAAGGATAGGTAAGAGGTTAAAAGGGTGGAGTAGGGCCTTATTGTCCCGTGGTGGTAGGTACACTTTGGTTAAGATAGGGTTAAGTGGGATTCCTATTTGTTTCATGTCTTTGTTCAAGATTCTGGTCAGGGTAGCAAAATCCATAGAAAAGCTAATGAGGGATTTTCTGTGGGAAGGGAAGGATGAATGAAGGAAGGATCATTTGGTGAAATGGGAAACGGTGTCATTACCAAAGGAGAAGGGGGGCTTGGTAGTTGGTAATATGGTGGCTAGAAACATGGCTTTGTTGGGCAAGTGGTTATGGAGATTCCCAATTGAGCGTGGTTCATTATGGCATGCAGTTATCAAAAGTAAATATGGGTTGCATGTTAATGGTAGGGACTCTCAGGTGGTTTCTAGGGGTAATGGGCGTGCTCCGTGGAAGTCTATTTCTCATATTTATCCAATTTGGTCCCAATTCATTTCTGTAAGGGTGGGTAAGGGGGACACGGTAAGATTTTGGAAGGATGTTTGGGTAGGTTCTTTGTCCTTTGTTGAGTCCTATCCACTTCTGTATAGAGTTTCTCAATCTCATAATTGTTTTGTTGCGTCCGTGGCTGTTTCTCCGTTGGCTCCTTGTTCGTGAAATTTTAATTTTTTCTGAAATCTTCATGATAGGGAAGTTCCCGAATTGATATCTTTGTTGTCAAGGCTTGAAAATGTGTCTTTGTCTCCAAATTTGGAGGATCGGTGGTTTTGGAATATTCATTCGTTAGGCTCTTTTACTTGTAAATCATTTCTGGACAAAATTATTGATATTCCGCATGTACCTCAATTTTTATTTCACGAAAAGATTTGGAAGGCATGTGCTCCTCTTAAGGTGAAAGTGTTCACGTGGATCTTGGTTCATGGGGGCACTTTGACAAATGATTCATTGCAAAAGAGGAGACGTTCATGGTATCTTAATCCTCAATGGTGCATAATGTGTTCAAAAGTGGAGAATCTTTGGATCATCTTTTTTTGCATTGTTCGGTGGCGGGGCTTTTGTGGAATAGGGTGTTTGGTTTGGGCAATGTATAGTGGGTGGCTCCTAAAGGAGTTGCTCAAATGCTATTATTTGATTTTCAAGTTTTTGGAAGGTCGAAGAGGGCTAAAGTTTTTTGGAGTTATGTAGTCTTTGCAATCTCCTGGGTCATTTGGTTGGAAAGGAATGGGCGTATTTTCGAAGGAGGAACTAGGGATATAGATTATTTATGGGATAGAGTGAGATACTTGGCGTCTTTTTGGGCCTCGGCGAGTCCTGTGTTCTAAGGGATCCCTCTTTGTTTGATTGCTTCAGATTGGGTGTCGGTTTGTTTTGTATAGTGTGTAGTTGGTTGTCTTTTGGTTTGATTGTCTTTTTGGATGTATTTTTTTCTTTTTCCTTGTTGAGGATGCCTTATCCTCTCTTCTTTTTGGCCATGAGCCTTAATAAAATTTAACTTTTCCGTTGCTGATCAAAAAAAGAAGAAAACATTTTGCAACCAACAATACATGGCCTGCTTTCTTTGATATCATGTTCAATATAGGATGAGAGTGAAAATGTGTTTATTGTTTCAAATGAACTAAAGCCCCTGTACATTAAAATGAGTTTCAAGTAGTGTAAAGAGGTAGATTCTATGCAATAATGGTAAGCAATGATTGCTATAGTTTTCTGAGAGACATGTAAATCTGTTAAGAAATTTTCAAAATTAGAACAACCAATCTGTTAAGTTATTTATGTAATTTTTTTTTAAAATGTTTTGTTGGATAAATTCAATCTATTTTTACAGAGTTGTTGATTTTATTATGTAATTGACAAAAGTGCTAAATTTCAATCATGAAGATATTTGGTTTTACATTTTCGAGTGTTTCTTGCTAGAATTATGAAAACAATTTAATAGATATTTTTTTATGAATTACTGTAGTGCAGAAGCACTTGATAATCACTTGACAGCTATCCAGAGGGACCATGAACACAAATCCCAAATAGAAGAAAGGAAAATAAGAGATGATGCAGCTATAGAAGAGGCCAAAAGAAGAGAAAAGGCTCTTCAAGAAGAAAAACTGTGGCAAGAAAAAGTTAGAGCAGAAACAGAGGTTTGTTAACTTGGGCATCCAGTTCCTTTGGTATCTCTTTCGTGTGGAGCACAATATGCTTAGTGGCATTCCCCACTCAACCGAAAAAATCCTATATCATAAAACTATTTTAAGTTGGCAACGTGAATAATTTTTTAAAAAAATTTCTCACCTTAAAATTCTAGGTCATAATTTCATCTAAAATACATGTTGGCATGTATTTCCTCATTGTCTCTACACATTGATCCCATTTCACCTAGCATTACACCAAATCTGGTGATTTGTCTACTTGCTCATGGAAACGCCATGTCAATTGGTATTCTCTCATCTTATTTGCAACTGATTCTAGTTCATTATCTTTATTTCTAATTTTAACTGCTGAAATGAGGAAGACGAATTATTTTGCATAATAATAAAAATAAATAAATAAAGAAACATTAAAACCCAAAAGGATGGAAAAGAAATGGGGGTGGGGTTCACCTCAATTTATGCCCCTATGGTGCTTGACAAGGTTTTGTTTCTATGGAAGCTGTAGTTGCCTAGTTGGTGCTCAATATGTATTTAGTGACCTTGTTTTTGTGAAATACATATTGACAAAAAGTTTTCTGGATGGCCATTGGAATTTCAATATCTAACAAGTATTTTTGGTATATATTTTACACTTTTTGATTGCCATCTTTGCTCATGGTAAGAATAGACTAATTATAGAGGTGGTGACTTGGCGTCATGACAAGTGTTATCTGCCCCTGGTCTTGTGGCTCAGGTTCAAATCACAGGAATCTGCCTCTCCGTAAAATAAGTGAGGGTATGGCTGTCTACTTACTACCTCTTCTCAACCCTAAAATAAGTGGGAGCCTAAAAAAAGTGGGGGCATGGTTGTACGCCTACTACTTCTTCCTGACCCCCACTATAAGGAGGAGGCTTGTGTGCTGGGTGCAACGTAAGAATAGACTGTTATCTTGTTGCCTAATGCTCAAGCTGCTACTTCAATTAACTAAAGTTGTGGCCATCATAATGTTAAGGCATCTTTAATGGAGGAATATGGTCTTTGGTTAACTCTCAACTTTATTACCAAAAGATGAAGAACAAATTATGTCTAGTCAATATCTATTATTTTAGAAGCTTATAAAATTGCATTTTGGAATGAATAATCTAAAGCCCATTTAGTAACTAGTTCACATAAAGCCAATTAAATAATATCAAAGTCTTGCATAGCATCAAAAAGTGGACTATGATGTCAGAGAAAGTCATAACTTAGGGTCTTAACAAGAACGCTTTCTGACTCATCTGCTAGAACTATTTCAAATTAGAATTCTGCTAATTTAATGAAACTGAAGATCAGATTTGCAAGGAATCTGACGAGGGACAAGATCACAATATCATGGTAGGCCTTGTGCGGAAGATGATTTCTCCAATATCATATTCACAAGATCGTTATTGTTTCTCACTTCTGCCAAAGAAATCATTTTTCTTGTGTGCACTCATGACTCTGCATTGGTTTGTGATTGAGATTCTTGGTAGATTTATTCCATTGATCATCCCATAATTGGTTTGCTTTAGTTCTCAAGTATTTGTATCTGCTGGAAATTGGTTGCATATTTTATAAAAAAAGTGATAGTATGCTGTTAAAACTGAGGGTTTTTTTTTTTTCGGGTCCAGCAATGCTAGGTGAAGATCTAAGGGATGTAGGCTAGACTTGAGGCTGAGAAGAAGAGAGCTGAAGAAGCAAAAGCAGCAGCTTTGGAAGCTGCAGAAAAGGTTGCTGCAGAAGATTTAGCAAGGGCTGCCGCTGCTGTAGTTGCTCCAAAGGAAGCTACAAGCGGCTCAGGAATTTTGAATGATCAATCCAACAAATCTGGATCTGATGGAGTAAAAAAAGTTCAACAAGCAGGTATCTCAATTTCCAAAGCCTGAAGATGAAACATGAACACTTTTTTTGACATTTCAGTCGGCAAAAAAATTTAGGGACCAAAATGATGGCTTGATGTTAGTGACAATTACGACTCCATATCATTCGGGTTGGTCATCTGTCAGTAGAAAGTTAGCACATTGCTTAAATTGATGGACACGTTACTGTTATACAGAGTGATTTAGGAATGACTTTGTTATGTCTTTTGTTTCCATGTCAATTAGAAGTTTCGTCCTTGTCTGGAATTGCAGCTGACTGGCCAATTTGTTTGCAGGAAATATAATCAAGTGTGCAGAAAGTGCTCTAACTTTAGAGGAAAAAAGACTGCAGATTTACAAGGAAGTTGCTGTTAAAAACGAGGCACTGGGATTGGGTGCTAGCAGTGTAAGTGACAGCATGAAAGTCATCAGATTTTGAAGCTCCAGATTGTTTAAAATGTCTCCTACGTTGTTCATAATTTAAATCTCTGTTATGTTAGGTTGATCTTTTGAAACCTTTGCTAATATGGAGTATCAAATTGTATTAATTGTTAAAATCATCTCAAATAGCCAACAGTTTATTAAACTACATCTCTGGACTGAATACTAGAATATGACTTCCTCCTAGTACTAGAGTCAGTTCATGTATTCTCTTTAATCAGAAATGTAAGAATGTTATTTTCGTTATGTGGATAATTATATCCTTGCTATAGAATTCCTTGCTCATTTTTCATATTCAAATTCTGTTTTAATTATTTATATCTTAAAAGCTTCATTAAGGTCGGTCCTGTATTTGTATACTGAATTATATATCTTGATTTACTTTTCTGAAGTTGTCTCTCCTGGGCAGGTTTACGGCAGCCATGTATCAAAAATACAGAGACTGATCAAACAAGTTAGTGGGACAAAGGAAAATATAAGGTGAGGTGAATGCATTTAACTAAGGTGGCTATCTCAGTTGCTGTGGTTATCGAAGCTCCCATTTTGCATGCAAATCTATTGAGTTTTGCTCAATTCATCGAGGCAATGAAATTCTTTTTTTTTCTTTTTTCTTTTTTCATACTTTAAGAACTGAGATCTTCTTTTAATCAGTGAAGGAGGGAAGGGGAGTTGAACCTTTGAACAATTAGTTAGGTCAGGCACCTTTGTACCACTCGTGCTAGTTGTTGCAGTGGTGCAGTATCTGTCAGAACTTAAAAGGCCAGGGACCTTTTATAGAATCTGTGATGATATGATTGGTCAGCGTGACCAACCAATGACATAAAGAGGAGGATGCTAAAATGACAAAACCAAAAAGAATGGATCGTTGTATTAAAATTGTAATTAAACCAATATAGCCAATTAATGAAGATGAATCTACGGCTTTTTTTTTTCTTTTTTGTTTTTACTGATTAATTCTTAATTCTTATATGCTGTATATATTAGGGATTAAGTATATATTTTTGTTTCCTTTTTAGTTCTAGGGTTAAATTGTTATATAAACCGATATATTCTTGTATTATAATCTCTGTTATCAGAATTTTACGATTCACGATTCGATTCTCAAATTTTGCAAAATCAATGCGAATGTATGGGTGAATCTATTTTGGAAGTGAATCTCTAGTGAATCACACGATTTACAATCGATTCATGATTCGATTCACTTTTTACGATTCAAGCAATTTTTGAAATTATTGTGTCCGACATATTTTTGACTCTTTTTTTCTCTTATCTTTTTAGTGAAAATGACATTATACAACTTCTAATAGCGTTTAATACCAAAATAACCAACATATATACATAATTTGTTGTTATTTTAGTGATCATAGAGTTTTTAATAGGATCCAATCAGATTTAGTCAGATCTAACATATTTTTAACCTTTCTTCTCATTTTTTTCCCTTTAAAAAATTATAATATATTTTCTAAAGATGTTTAAGATTAAAGTTACACTATGAATTAGCTATTGCTATTTTATTAAATTGAATATAATTAAATATTACATGTGTGAGGTCAATTATACCTTTTAAAATGCTTTAGGCTTTGAAATAAAAGATTTTAAATAATTCGTTCTTATCATTTGCTCTTTGTTACTTAGAAAAGTATGTATGCTTATTGTTCAAAAATCAATATCGTTGTTAATTATTGGTACTTTGAAAATTGTTAATTTGTCTATTTGGTTATTATCTTTATTAAAAATGCTTGATAAGAAATATCTAAAAAAGAAAAAAGGTAAAATAGTGACGTTACATAGAAACTTTTGTTAAATTTTTACCTATTAAACTATGTGATTATCATTCAAAATAACATTTTTATTTATTTAAGTCTAAAATTTCATATTCATCAGACATATTTAATATCTAAATGTGTAGATATATGTTTTTAAGTAATTTAGAAAATGTGGCTGAATCTTTACGATTCACGATTTGATTCGGATCGCGATTCGGTATGAGGCTATTTCGATTCACGACATGAATCCTGATTTGACAACTATGATTATAATCACAATTGAATATGCAGATTCATTAAGAAAACTCAAGAGTGTTTGCATGTATTTTGAGTCTACTGCATCTCTAACATTTGTTCTATAACTTTGAATTTATGTTGATGTGATTTATATATCGGTGTCTTAAGGATCAATTTACTTTTGCAGAAACAAAGTAGATCAATTGACTAAGATTTTCTTTGATTCATCTTGCCCTCAGTCGATCAGTATTGCAATGTTCGCCGAAAAGGTAATATCTGTTGTTTTTATTGTTGGAATTTGGAAAAAATGAAAAGAAAATAAGATTAGATACCCTCCAATAACTTAATGTACTGACATGTTTTATGTTTCATTGTTTCAGATCATCGACCAATGTGTAAACCCTAATAAGGCCCTTTTTGCATATGCCCATGTCATTGTTCTTGTTGCTTCACAGGTACAGCATGTTTTACTTTTTTTATGTTTCAGGCCCCTGCTTGTAGTTGGTTGAGTATTAGGCATTGCAATTTGAAACAAATAAATAATTTAAGGATCATCCTTTATACATCTGATAATTCTATCAGTGTGAACCTGTTGTGAAGTACAGTTTTGTGATATATATGAGACCGCTACGAGGTCGGCTGGGTTGGTCAGACACCATCTGAATACACAGAACTACACTTGTGCTCATTATGCAATGCAGCGGCATATGTTTTGTGCCTATAAATTATATTGGACAAGTTCGATCTGGAACTTAATATTGCATGCCTCCTAATTGTCTGCAAAATCTGACTGGGCCTAATTGTGTTTGCTGAGACTTATTCTTCCAAGGTGCATTGTTTTGCATATAGTATGAATTGACTGCATATCAGACAACTGATTGTTGGAATTGTTCACATTTTTTTTTATTTTTTATGAACTAGGTCCCACTTGCTATGGATCTTGTCCTTGCCAAGTTGAATAGAGTTTGCATCTACACTGTCCCAAAGTATATTAATTACTCCAAGGTACTCAACTTCAACCCTCAATGATGCTTTTGTTCTGTTATTGCTATCTTGCTCGTGTATACGTCTCAATGACGATCTTGCTACACCAAGTTGCAAAAAATCTTCTTCCTAAGATTATTTTGTAAGATTATTTCTTGCTACTTCAGTCAGCATTTGATACGAATGAAGCTTATCACAAAGCCATTGGTTACAAAGAAGAGGACGGAGAGATTGAGAGTGAAGAGAGTTATGTATCACGGATAGAATCATATATGAAACTATATGGAGCTCTTGTTCAGGTTCGTCCCTCTCATATCTTCCATACTGAATTCCATTACACAAGGCCTAACTTGAAATTTTTAGAAATACACTTACACTGGTATTGCATGTGACCATTCTACCAATGTCTCTTTATCGGTTTTACTCGTTTAAAACTTATGGAGCTAAAATTTGTGTTTTGACAGACACAGGTTGAGAGTGTCCAAAACAGGCATGGTATGGGAGAAGGTTGGGCATGGCTTGCAAGATTCTTGAATGCTCTCCCTGCAAACCTATATACTGCAGTTGCACTGCAGGCATTCCTTGAAGTAAGTTGTTTCAAACTGTATACTTGTGTGTCGTTTGTTACACTTGGGTTTTCTGTTTTCATTTTTTTGTTATTTTGGAAAATAGAAACTATAATTTTGTTTGGTATGTTGTTTTCATTTAAAAATATGTGGAATTGATTCTAAAATTTTCAAAATTTTTGAATACACTAAAAGGCATTTTCATTTGATTTCAAAATATATTTTTACTCTCTTTTCTCGACCACCACCCACCATCAGCCACCACCACTACCACATTGGCTGGCCAACGGCGAACTATGGAAAACTCCGTCCACTTTCCACTTTCCAATGACTGTCTGGCCCTGATGACCGGACGGTTGCTGCCCGCAACCTCTGGCGATACTTCCAGCCATCCCCACCGCTGACCAATGGCCACCCTCCATTGCCAGTCACCACCTCTAGAAAATCACTAGTCATGTTTTGTTATTGTTTTTAAAACATTTTGTGTACATCAAACAAGTTCTTGTTTCTTGTTTTTTGTAAACAGAAGACAGGAATCTTGTAACGTTATCAAATGATACCTTATAAACTGATTTAAAATGCAAAGAGTTGAAAAATTAATATGTTGCACTACCAGGCTGCAGGGTTTGGTCTCTATAGAAGATACAAATCGCATTTCAAGAAGTTACTGAACGTCATTTATCGCGACTTTGTAAATGCGCTTAAACAACGAGGAGGAGATGCAAAGCTCAACAAAGTCATCACAAGTATCCAGACTTACATAGAATCAAACAGGTTCCTTGAGGAACCGGAAGGAAGGTCCCTGCAGGGTTCTTTGCTATCACATACTTTTGTTCCTGAATCAGAATACTCTGAGCCATCATATCATCGCCCAGCAAACAGGTTTTACTACCAATATTGAAGCCCATTGCTGCCCCGGAAATATCTAGTGTATGCAGCTTGATTGTGTTGTAGATTTGTCATGTTGATATATGTTGCCTCCAATTAAAGAAACTATACATATGAGAATACACATTTGGTTTGAAATGAGTTGTATTTTGAGCCTGATTCTGATCCCCAGTTTTGAAAGTGGATCAAGGTTAGATTGTATATTTGTGTTGTTTGTTTCAGTACAATGTGCACCGCATCCATAAGAAAACACCTCACCGAGTGTGTTACCTTTCTGTGAAGCATTGTGCCATTTTTGTTGATCGTATTGGTGTTCACGACTTGGATTGATCCAATTTGAGAGTAAATCACTCTAACAATTCTAGAAAAATTGGAATCATTTTGGTTTTATTGTTCTAGAAATTTTATACAGCACGATGTGGTATATATTTCATAATGTAAAATAAACGAACTAGTAGCATAGTTGTATTGATTGAAACTTGCCAATTCTATAATCAAGACCAATGTTTAGATTTTGCTATTTACTTCTACACTTTTTACATACAGAAACATTAAAAATAATAATAATAAAAAATATTCAATTGGGTTTGAAACATAATGAATAATCATGGTCGGTGGTGTAAAACAGTAACAGAATCCTTCAAATTGCAAACTGGACCCAATTGTACGGTTCAGTCGTTTTCAAAATCGAGATCAGAACTGAAATGAATAAAATCAGACCAAATTGACCATTTAGACTGAATTGGATCAATTTACTAATTCCACCTATTTTTTGAACTATATTTGCATTGATATCTCACCATAAAAACAAAATAAAATAATGGAAATACAGTGCCCAGTATACGATGAAAATCTGGATCATAATCCCTGCTTACAAAGGAAATTCTCACAAATATATACACATCATAAAACAAACAACTGACCACACTACAATCTTGCTCCTTATTTTCTACTCTTTCCAAGTGCAAACAATACAATAAATTGACATTAAAAAAAAAATTGAATGTGTATAGCAAAACTTCACAAACAAGCATAACTGTGACATCACAAAACCCAATCTCTCAAAGATCTCCTTCAACAAGCAGTTCTGTAAAAAGCATCACATAAAAAAAAGCATAGGCTCCAAACGTAACACCAGACCTTCAATCTCCACTCTCTATGAACTTGGCAAGAATTCTCGTCACGTTCATTATATGAAGCCCTAGCCTATATGACAGACATCCAGGGCAAATATCGGACTGCTATCATCTTACAATGTGTGGCGCCAAAAAAGACAAACCAATCCTGAATTTCCCAGAACAAGTAAATTAAAGCCGTTGGAAGTCCAACGGTAAAAGTAAGGAAACAGAAATGTCTAAATACAAGAAAATTTTCAACAGCTAACCTTCTCTTTCCTATGGATCAGGGCCTTTCAATGCACCACCGGCCGAACCAAACACTAGTTTTGGCGACACATCTCGGAGATATCCAGCAAAGCCTATTAATAGAGCTTTATTCTGGTTTTGATTGGAATTCGGCAGATTGGACATATTTTGAGGCCTTCTCCACAATCAAAGCAAGTCTGCCCATAAAAGAAAAAATTAAGTGAAAAAATATATGTCATGGACTACGTAGTTCTTCGCATATGACCTAAAACTTGAAAATCCTGAAAATCTTGAGTAATTTACCTGATGCCCACAACCAAAAGCCATGTTCTTTGGGTTAGTAAAACAAATAGGGCAAGCCTGTGACAAAATCAAAATGTAAAAGATTAATACCCCTGAAGGAAATTAGAACAGTGATGTAAATGTGTTGTTTGGTGACTTCACGATGAAGGAAATGTAATTTTATAAAATGTGACGGAAAAACAAGTGGACAGAAATATATCATGGATATTATGAATTTGATTATTTGTTCACCTGATTATCATGAAGAGAACTTGAAGATGGAGCAGTGGTAGTTGCCATATCATATCCTGGATAAAGAGAGGTACTCTGCTGAAAACTGCTCGAGTGGAACGGTTTTGAGCTATTACTGAGAGAAGTTGTATTGCGTAGAGGTGGGGGACGAGGAACCCTGTTTGGAGCATGCCCTGTCTGTCGACTGTTGAAAAAACAAAGGGAAAAAAAATGGTGCATTTATGTTTTATATCACTGAGGGTTAACGACAAATTGAAAATATTGTACATGTGAGTGTTAAAACTGTTTACCCTAATATATTCAATTCAAGTGTCGCTTTATATTGAGAAGGTATTTCCATCAATGCAGAGAGAGCAAAATCTGTCTGTTTTCTCAATGGATCCACATTCTTCGACATAATCTCCGTAAAATTCACAAACTGTAAAGACATAAAAGCAGTTGCAACCAATCGAGAAAATGTCAAAGAAATGTAACATGGAAATATATAGTATCTTGATACTTAAATGACAAATACTACTGTCTACCTGAAAATTGTCGAAGGCTCGAGCAGGGATGTTATCGTCAAACTCCCTCATCATGTCCCATGGACCATCTCCTACCCCAACCAAGATAATTGACAAGGAGTATTCACTGCAATTAAACAAGTGAATAAGAAAATGGATTGGCAAGCCAAAGCTTAATTTATGAAGAGTTCTTCTAGAGTCTCCTAATAAACTACAAACTATGGTACCAAACTTACTCACAAGGTGTTAACCCCACATTGATACGAGTATGGGGCATTGCGGCCCACACTTTATTGTGAGCAGTTGGTAATTTAGTGTGTAATTAATTAGGGATCCGTAGCATTTTTTACTTATAAAAGGTTTACCTTGCTTTGACAATAGCATCAATGGTCTTTTGCTCTTGTGTGCTAAGTTGACCACGTGGAGTATCAACACTTCTGGTCACCTAATGAAGATGCAATTTTTTGTGAAGCATAAATCATAAAATACCAAAGCACAGATATACTATAATAGGAGTCACCAACCCAATAACAAAGTCATTCATTCGCAAGCTTTTCCAGTCTTGTTTCTCATACAGTAAGCATTCACAACCTAATTTAAACAGTGAACCTTCTCCGAAGGCCAGTATGGTACAAGTAGTGGCTCCCAAATATTTTATGATGAAAAACATACTTGCCAACTCTTATCCTAGTTTAAATTGGCAGCCAAAAGTATTCAGTATACTTGGTTTCAATTTTCAAGATTCAATTTTTTGAAAATTGAGTTTTTTGTTTTTTTGTACTTTTTTGTTTTTAGTGAATATTTTAAAAATTTTATACAGTTTTTTTACTTATTTAGATGCACATTATTTAGATGTATCTAAAAAGTAAAATATTTATAAAAAAATATTTTAAAAAATCAATAAATACACAAGAATACAAAAAAATGTACTGAATTATCGTATTTTTAGTATTTAGTGAATTTTTTAAAGATTTTTTTCACAAATATTATACTTTTTAAGTATATTTATGTTAAGTGTATCTAAAAATTAAAAAAATGGCTTAGAATATTAAAAAAATTCAATGAAAACAAAAAAATACGGAAAACAAAATATTTCAATTTTCTAAAAAGTGAATCTTGAAAATCCAAACCAATTATCTTTCTCAGTCCAACATTATTTCAAGATAATTTGGAAGTTTTGAGTATTCATTATGCCAACATGTAAGGTTCAAAGTATCACTTGAATTTAAGCCCCATATTTCTAAAAACTAGAAGGGCCAAAACTAATTTTATCTTTAAACCAAAAATTAAGTAAAATCATAATATCCCACAATTTTTGTCAAATACAGATGATCCTGTGGCATCCATATAGAGATTGACTGAATTAATAAGAAGGTAGTGGAAATGGATATGTTAAGAAATCAATAGGAGCTTAGCTTAATTGGCCAAAACCTCTGCACCACATTAGGGGGTCAAAGGTTTAACTCCCCTTCCCCATAGCTACGGCATCCAATGTAGCCAAAAAAAGATATGTTAACAAATTGGACCAACCAATTTTTAGATTATAACTTGAAAGAGCAACCTTGATGGTAGACATTCTCAAGAAAATTAGAACTCACATTTTAGAAAAAGATATATATTAATCTAGAAATGTGATTAGATGGTGAGCAAAACTCTAGATTCATAATGAATATGGTTGAGATCTGTCGAGAGTTTCAACCAAGTATTTTTTCTTTTTTTCCTTCTTCTTCTTCTTCTTCTTCTTCTTAAGTAAAAATATGGCTTATTAATTTCATGACATGATCATTAATTTGATTATTGCTTTAACTTCCATTCTAGAATCCTCAGCATGATATTTTCAAGTTGACATATTATTTATGGAACATGCTGACATCAAAAAGTCATTCTGCAATGAAGAAGTCCATGTCAAAGTGAGTCTCACCTGCCCATCAGCAATTATCAGCAACACATGGTACTGGCCTCTGCTTTCCTCAACAATACTCATAGCCATTTCTATTACAGGTGCAAAAGATGTGGGTCCTGCCATAAGCAAAGAGGAACACTGCTCAGTGAACAAACTGGAGAATTTTTGAAAATGCTATTGACATGAATAACAGCTATAGAAAGGATACCTGAAAGTCGAAGATGTGGAACTATTTCTCTGTATTGCCTCAACACTTCCTCAAATCCATCGCAAAACCTTGCATCTCGCTCAAAACTGAAAACATCTTGATCATGTGTTGAGGCTGCAAAAATATATAACATACAAATCATCTCCAAATCTAAATACTGATTCTAAAAAAGCAGCTATTACAGACACTTTTTCATAAGTGATTACCATCTCCAAATCCAAAACAAGGAATCAAGTTATCCTCATCAAAAGCAGATAAAGTTTTCCCAATAATCGATATTGCTTGTTCATAGGGATTTAGGTCATTTCCAATGTGATGTAAGCTTCGCCTGTTGAATGACCGCGAACCTGAGTTTAAGAAAAAGTTTAGATGTTGCATTACAAGACATTAAGAAGTTTATGCATCTGGAATCTAGATAAAGTCAAACCTGTCCACTCGTTGCTCTTTGTGAAATCAATACCAACAATGAGATTGGAGGACTCTAGTCCAGCCTGGGCAAGTGCATCAGTAACCTGTGGAGAATGAACACTCCACGTTATTTATAAGAAGAAATGAAAATTGGTAATTTTAAAGTACCATTAGTTGACATAACTAATACCAAGATATTGATAGTTCGACATGAACAAATACCACTTATAAATTTAGCTGAAAAAGAGGTATAATTAATAAAATGAATGATCAAACTAGGAAAAGGAAAAATGCAGCATTACCAAAGTTCATATAATTATACAAAAGCCTTTACTGTGACATGCTATGGTTGTCACATTGCCTGAAGTGAGAAGCACTGAAGTTAGCATTTGGTGATTTTTAGTCTGTTTTGTGATAGAAAACATGTACACACGAGAAAACTTTTTAAACAAGCATGTATGTGACTTGAATAGTTTTCGACTCGTCTTTAATTATTACATGCTTTATTTAATAGTTATATGTATATGTAGCACAATATAGAAACTAGAGTATGTTAAGGCATATTAAAAAAATTCCTAATGAGCATAGGATAATATTCAATATTAGGTGGATACTTGAGTCTTAACACAAACTTAGAGTGCATCCCTTGCAATTTTTTGTGAACAAAATTTCAAGAATCTTTCCTAAAAAGTTGAGGTTTTTCAATTTATTGCCGAAAAGAAACAAATATTTTTTTTTTTATGAACACCACATTAATCATTATTTGCAATTTTCACATTGGCTCTCCCCCTTAATCTCCACTTTTAATTATTTACTTTTTTCTTTTGAACAATTGTGAAGCGAGGTCAGTATAATTCACCCATATAATAATTGTCAAGCGAGGTCAATGTAATTTACCCATTTTTTTTGGTATTAATTACACTTTGCCACCTCAACTATCATCAAATATCACCTTACCCCCGATAACTTTAAAACCATACATTTAGACCCCACAACCACAAAAATTGCTTCACTTTTACCCCTCCACAAGAGGGGTCTTTATATGATTTTTGATAAAGAAAGGAATAGATCTTTAAAGTCAATTCAAAAATAAATTGCATATGGTCCAACCTGTTCCAGTGTCTGGTAATTATCAGCTATCCTTGAATATCTTCTATCCAACTTCCTCTGTCGCTGAGGGGTTTGAGCTCCATAATTATAAGGTGCTGGGGCATGGTGATGCTGAGGAGTATAATAAGGGTTCTGCTGAGGGTATGCAGGTTGCTGGTACTCACGCTGATTGAACGAAGACGAACCAGATGATGAAAATTGCCTCCGGCTCGTCCCTTTTGAACTACTGCTTCCCATCAGCTGTGCAATCTACAAAAACAAGCCTTCAAAATTCACTTTCTTTCCCCCTTCCCCCCAAAAAAACCAATGATTTGAACCTCTGTGATCTTCCTCAAAAAGTAATCACCAAGTCAAGAAAAGCAATTGCAAATTCAATCAAGCACCACAAGAACCCAACAATATGTACGAAAAAATATACCCAGAGTCGCAGATTATATGGAATGATTTGCATATATATATATATATATAGTAAGGCCTGAATAAAAGGTGGGTTTTAAAGATTTAAAGAGTTCAAACTTTAGGTACAAAGACATCAATATAAAACATTGACTTTTAACAAAAGTTTGGCGGCCAAGTCTTTGACTGAAACAAACACCGACCCATAACATTAATTCAAAATTGTTTAGCTCTCCATTAAGCACACCTGTTGTTATCGATCTTCTGTGAAGTTTCTATAAACTTTCTGCCTGTTGTTATTGATCTTCTGTGAAGTTTCTATAAACTTTCTGATTGTGAGGATGCGGAAGAGGTATAAAGGACGAAATTCAAATTGGCTTCTAAGAGAAGATCACGCAAGAGATCATCACCCTCACACTCCACCTTTAATTGAATTACATATAAAAATAGACACATGCATGCATATATGTAAACAAGCGGTGGCACATGATATCCGTGTGGAATTCAAGAATAAAAATAAATAATAAAAAAATTAATATTATAATAATATGTAAGTTACTTAAATGATAAGTTTATTCTTAATGAAATATGAAGTTTTGCGTTTAAACTATACTTGTGCAGTAGTTTAATAATTTTTTATTTTAGCATATAAAAAGTGCCATGAAGAGAAAATGTAGAAATTTATCAAGTATAGGGTTCACATATATGAGTAGATAGGTATGAACATAAAAAGCCCATTTGATAGCATTTATAAATCAATTTATTTAGCTTATCGACTTTTATAAAAATTTTAAAAAAAAATTGATTAATTAATGAAGTTTGATTGTAATTTTAAATTAAAAATAATTTAATTATTTTATAGTGAGGTTCTTTTAAACTACAATTTGATCTTTTTTTTACCCTATTCTATTCTTTCTATTACCCTATTCCATTCACTCTTTTAACTTATTTGAAAACCTTAAAATTTAAATATTATAGACAATTGGTGTAAAAAGACGGCATTTTGGATACTTTTTACGCAATAAAAAAGTTACTACTATAACTTATTTAACCAAAGATGTTTAATCAACTTAAACCAAACTTATTTAACCTGGCCACGGTGCCATTTTGATAATATAAATTACTTATTTTGTAAGATTGTTTGTATATGTCATCTATCAAAAAAAAAATTAAATCATCCAATAATCAAAATTTTTTTATTCTATAATATTTGTTTATCAAAAAAATAGACAATAAATATATTTTTTAAATAAAAACTAGGAAAAATTATTTATATGTCCTATTAGGGAGACTTATGCTACATATGGTCCTACTAAAAAACTTATGTTTCCATAAGTCCTGTGGGAAGTTTGTTGACACATTTACCCTCAATATTAGTTGTTAATATTATAAATAATAATAAAATCATATATAGGAAATTGCATGTTATCATAGATCTTAAGTGTCACGTTACATTTATGTAGGTGTCACGTTACGTATAGGTGTCACGTTACGTTTATAGGAAATTACATGTTACTATAGATCATATCTACATAAACGAAACGTAACGTAACGTAATGTGACACCTATGATCTATGGCAGCATTCAATTTCTTATATAGGAAATTGAATGTTACCATAAATTATATCTACATAAACGTAACGTAACATAACACCTACATAAACGTAACGTGACACCTATGATTTATGGCAACATTCAATTTCTTATTGAATGTTGCCATAAATCATATTTATATGAAACGTAACATGACACCAACATAAACCAGCAACATTTTCACATTCAATTTAAAAAAATAAAAACACATTAAGTTTGCGAAACGTTACGTTACGTTTATGTAGGTGTCACGTTACGTTACGTTTATGTAAGTGTCACGTCACGTTACGTTTATGTAGGTGTCACGTTACGTTTATATAGGTATCACGTTACGTTACGTTTATGTAAATGTCACGTCACGTTACGTTTATGTAGGTATCACATTACGTTACGTTTATATAGGTATCACGTTACGTTTATGTAAGATCTTGTGGAATACATTCCTATCTAAATAGGACTTGAGACTCTATAAGAAATTACACAGGACTTAGCCTACTATAAGTGTCTGAAAAATGACTTATAAATAAGTCTCCCTAAAAACTAAAATATAAAAATATTACATTTAATAAATCAGCTTAATTTTTTTCATAAATAATACACATAAAAAAAATATTATAAAATAAACTATTTAAATGATAGACCTTGATTTTATGAAAAAGTCTTATCAACATTCTACTAAAAGTTTTACCAAATGTCTCACATGGGTGTGGGACCCACACATTGTGGATCCCATTTGGGTCCCACACCCATGTGAGACATTTGGTAAAATTTTTGGTAGAATTTTTAGGACCTCTAAGCATTTTTGTATATACAATAATGATTCATCCCCCATTTTCCACCCACCCCCTTTGACCCCTCTCTCTCTCGTTGGTTACATTTTCTTTTTCTTTTTCTTTTTCTTTTTTTTCCTGCTCCTTCAATCACCACCCGCCACGTGACAAAGAGGGGTGAGGGGTGACCCCCAAAAGGGGTCCCCAGCATTATTCATATATATAACATGCACCATTCACGTTATCTCACGAAAACAGGATAGGATTGGTCAACCAGTAAAGTACTGTCTCTCTCCCCCCTACTATTAAAATGTCATCTCACAAATCTCAATTGTTGAATAAAAAAAACAAACCCAATTTCATGGTAATGACTGATCAGACTAAACCTAGATTGGTTGATCAAAGCCATTGAAAAAAAATTAAAAAACAACTGATAAAGTTTAGAAAGGATTAACACGGAAAACGACACATAGATTAAACTAAACAATAATAAACCATTATCACACCATCATCGACGATTGAGCAAAGTCGCCGCTGGAAAATAAAAATTGGGGGAAAAAGAGAAGTAAAAAAGCAGAGTAACGAACCTTGATTGAGGAAATTGATCTTCAGTGGTGAAATTGAAGAGAAAACTCGTAGTAGTAGTAGGAATTTAATGGAGTATTGGGATGATATAGTAGTACTAGTAGTGGTAGTAATGAAGAAGGAAGCCATTTTCGGCGAAGAAACAAAGAAAGAGAGGAAGCAGTTTAAAAGTATTGCTCTCTCTCTCTCTCTCTCTCTCTCTCTCTAGAAACTATGATGTAGAGTCATTTATTAATCAAGAATTGGCTCGAAATTTCCTTCTCCTTTCATCATCGGATCAAAATTTGGACTTGACCATAAGCAAGTTTCTTGGCATTATCCTATTTGAATTTTCCCATCCGTCGTCTCAATATAAAAAAATATTTGTGATACTTAGGGTATCCTTTAAAATAATTAAAAAGTCAGAAGTCACTGTCTTATTTAAGTCATATTATCTTATCTAAATTATATCATCTTTTTACTAACCAAACCAAACCAAACCAAGCCAAGCCTTAAGTCCCATCAAATGGGATCGGTTACATAAATCCTTCTTCTTCACACGGCCCTATCAAAGGCCATTTCATTAGTCAAATTAAGTAGATTCATATCTCTATTTATAACGCTAGTCAACGTTAATCTAGACCTACCCTGTCCCCTAACACTTCCATCTATCGTTACAGCATCGCATTTCTTCACTACTGCCTCTGTTGGTCTCCGTTGAATATGACCAAACCATCTCAAACGATTCTCTCTCAACTTATCTTCTATCGGTGCTACTCCTACCCATTCCCGAATACACTCATTCCTAATCCTGTCTTGTCTAGTCTTATCACACATCCATCTTAGCATCCTCATCTCAGCCACATTCATCTTATCTACATGTTGTTTCTTGGTTGCCCAACACTCCGTCCCATACAACATAGCTGGTCTAATAGCCGTTCTATAGAACTTACCTTTTAGTCTAGTGGGTATTCGTTTATCACACAATACCCCAAACGCACTTCTCCACTTACACCATCCCGCCTTAATCCTATGGGCCACATCTGCATCAATCTCTCCCGCTGTTGTGATAATCGACCCTAAATAACGAAAATGTCCACTTTTAGGCAGTTCTTGGTTCTCAATCTTCACTTCTCCTCTGCTTTCAGTGTTACTGTTACTAAATTTACAATCCATGTACTCTGTCTTAGTTCTGCTTATCCGAAATCCTTTAGATTCAAGAACTTTTCTCCAAATCTCTAACTTTGTGTTAACTCCTTCTCTAGTCTCATCCACTAACACAATATCGTCTGCAAAAAACATACACCATGGCACGTTATCCTGAATATTTATCCTCAACTCGTCCATAGCTAAAGCAAAAAGATAAGGACATAAGGTAGATCCTTGGTGTAACCCTACCGTGATAGGAAATTCATTTGTTTCTCCAACTGGCGATCTACTGGTGGTCACCACCCCTTCATACATGTCCCTAATCACGTCAATGTAGCCTTTTGTCACCCCTTTCTTCTCTAACGCCCACCATATTATATCTCGGGGCACTCTGTCATATGCTTTCTCAAGGTCGATAAACACCATATGAATGTCTCTTTTCTTTTCTTTATACTTTTCTATAACTCTCCTCAAAAGATAGATCGCTTCCATTGTTGACCTACCAGGCATAAACCCAAATTGATTCTCTAACACCTTTGTTATGTCTCGCAATCGGCGTTCCATCACCCTCTCCCACACTTTCATTATATGACACATTAGCTTAATTCCTCTATAGTTGTTACAATTCTGGACATCACCTTTATTCTTATAGATTGGCACTAACATACTCTTCCTCCACTCATCTGGCATTTTCCTAGTCAACAAAATTTTGCTAAACAACTTAGTCAACCAAGCAACTCATTTTTTACCCAAACACTTCCAAGCTTCAATAAGAATATCATCAGGTCCTAAAGCCTTATTTGATTTCATCTTCTTAAGTGCAATCTCTATTTCTTTAAACCTAATTCATATTTTATAAAAATCAAAAATTATACTTATTTAAAATATCTCAAACAATTTCTTAATTAATTATTTTTAAAAAATATCTGATAAATATCAAATTTATACTTGTTAAATATTTTATTATGTAAAAGTTTACCTTTAATGTCGCACCATTAATAATAATTTAAAGATGATAAATTAATAAATATCATAGTGTTACAAGAACGTTTAGGCTTGAAAAAAATCAAGTCCGGTCCTAAGATTTTCGGAGCCCAAGATTGATAATCAACTACTAAATTTTTGGGACCGTTTACATTCTTTTTTATTGAATGAAATTTTTTTTAAGGCAAAGGACAGAAGATTTATATTAAAATCACAAAAAATACTTAAAAAAATTAATTAATTGAATTGAAAAAAAAAAAATTACGTGTGCTTGCTGTGCTGAGATCAAAATATTTTTTTTAAATCAAAATTCAAAACAAGAGTACCATTACTTAACAAAACACAAAACTTTTAAATTATGTGATGTGAACTATTAAACTTAAATAAATTCTTCATAATGACGTAAATAAACTTAAATAAACTTTTAAAAAAATTTACGTGTGCTTGCCGTGCTGAGATCAAAATATTTTTTTAAATCAAAATTCAAAACAAAGAGCACCACCACTTGACAAATCACAAAACTTTTAAATTATGTGATATGAACTATTAAACTTAAGTAAATTCTTCTTAATGACGTAAATATCAATATTATAATAACAATTAATTGTGTAAAAGATAAGATAAATACTAATTAATTGAATAGAAACTAAATAAATAAATAAATAATTTACCTATTTGTTGCTACTTTGTCCGTATGTCGCTGGTGTGTGCTATATCAAGCAAATGTAGGGAATGTTGGATTAATAGAAGATAGGGTTAGGAATTAGAAGAAATGGGCCTTTCAAATGGTTGGACTGAGCCTTAACTATTGGTCTTTTAATGGGTCAAAAAAATTAAGTTAATTTAGGCCTTTTTTTTAAATTTATTTTAGATTTAAAACATACCTAATATATTATACTAACTTATAATAGGAGGGGACCCCTATTTTGAGCCTATTTTGAGGGGCCCTAAGCCATGGCCTTGTGGGTCTGTGGCCAGGGCCGGGCCTGAAAAAAATGACACTCATGTTTGGATTTGGATTTGGATTGGGAGATGAGAAATGAAAAAAAAAATTATTATAATTTTTTAAGGTGGTGAGATATATATATATATATATATATTTGGATGAATTATGATTATAAGAGTAATTTTAGTTTCATACCAAGGTTGGTTGCGTTTAGTTAGAAAATTTGATAGGAAGAGTTGAAATCTCATTTTTTATTTAGTTATGATGAAAAATATAAGGGAAAATGAAGTAATAGAGAAATGTAATCTCATTTTTGGGAGCTGTAAAAAGTGTGCAACCCCCTTAAGGTTACACACCATATGCAACCCAATTTTTAGCTGTTAGATTACAATAATTGATTAAGATCATTGAATTGTTTAATCGTAAAAAATATGAAACCGAGGCAACTGGTTAAGCCTCCTATTTGCATGATTGCATCCCACTTTCCTCTCTCTCTCTCTCTCTCTCTCTCTCTCTCTTATTGTCTTCATCTCTGTAAGGTTGAGTGTGTAACCCTTGATTCCCATTAACAGCGACAAGCCCCTGTTGGGTTCCATTGACGAAGCTTTGTAGGAAATAGTATAACCCTTGATTTCCAGTAACAACGGAACTACAAAGCTTTGTGGGGTTCCATTGTTAAAGTGAAGACGTTCTCTCTAACTAGATATCAGGTATGGAGTTGTCTCTCTCTCTCTCTCTCTCTCTCTCTCTCTGGCCTCTTCACTTTAGCAATTTTCCCTCAACTAAACCCTCATCCTAACTTCAACCCTTCTACGCTTTGCTCAAACCGAAACCCCTCAATCACCAAGTAACCTTTCTCTTTCTCAATCAAGTGTTTATGTTTGCACAAACAATCTAACCATGTTAAAATGTCATGTTTGTGTTTGTGTTTGTGTTTGTGTTTGTGTTAACATTTTTCAATCATCAAGTAATTGTTTGTACTAATGTCATGTACAGTATGGCCCCAGCCGAAGTTAAAAGTGAAGGTGTTGATTATGACATTCCGAATGAAGCAGATGACATTCGTTTGATCAATGAAAATCGGGCGGAACGTTGTCATGGTTGCGAAGCTGGTCTGCGCAATGAAAAAACAACCAACATAAAAGTTGAAGATGGCGCCGATATGAAACAAGAAATGGTTCACAATGCTCATGGCGATGACATGGTTGGTGAGGTTGAACATGCTGTTCTGGAACAGAAATTTGATTCGGTCGAAGATGGAGAAGCTTTCTACAATGCATATGCTAAAGCCAAGGGATTTAGTATACGAAAATCCAAATTTAACATAAATAAACATGGAAAGGTTGTTAGTAGTTTATGGTTGTGTTCAAGAGAAGGTTAGAGATTACCAAAATACTTGGATGGTGTTGCAAAGAAGAGAAGAGCTCCTAAGGCACTAACAAGAGTAGGTTGCAAAGGACAATTTCGTATACGGTATGATCCAGAGACTGGTGAAGAGGGAAGTATGTTGCGACTCACTTCATCACAGACCACAACCATAAATTGGCGAAACAACACTGTGTGATGTATCTGAGGTCACATCGGGGTTTAAACAACGCTGACAAAACTCCAACAATGGCTATGCGCAACGTCAGTGTGAAGACTAGCCAAATCATGGACTATATGGTAAATCAATCGGGGTGTTATGAGAATGTTGGTTTCATCCGTACAGATCTGCACAACCACATTCAAGCCGAACGTAGAGCAGAAGTTGAGGATGGTGATGCGCAGGGTGTTTTGGTTTACCTATGTGCAAAACTTGATGTTGACCCACATTTTTTTTACAAGTATGATGTGTGTAAGGATAATAAGTTACAAAATTTGTTCTAGGCAGATTCGAAATCGCGGGCTGACTACGCAAAGTTTGGTGATGTGTTGATATTTGACTCAACTTACCGTACCAATGCGTATAAGAAACCTTTTGTCATGTTGGCTGGTGTGACTAACCACTTCACGACCATGATATTTGCATATGTTTTGCTAGCTAATGAGACAATTGATACATACACATGGGTTTTGGAAACATTTATGGAGGCGATGGATAATAGAGCAACTGTGTCTGTACTGACAGATAGGGATAAAAAGATGCGAGAGGCAATCAGAAGAGTATTTCCAGATGCAAGACATAGATTATGTAATTGGCATCTTGGGAAAAATGCTGTGTCAAATGTTCACAAAAGTGGCTTTGCATATGCTTTCAAGCAGTGCATGGAGATGGAAACGGATGAGGCAAAGTTTGAGGATGATTGGATGAGAATGGTCGAAAAATTTGGACTTGAAAACAACAGCTGGGTGTTGGAGACATATGAGAAGTGTCATATGTGGGCTGAGGCATATATGCGTGGCCATTTCTTTGTTGGGATAAAGAACATTCAGCGCTCGGAGAGTATGAATGCTTATTTCAACCCCTTCGTCCAACATAAATTGAAGCTATATGAATTTGTTAGGCACTATGATCGGGCTATTGCAAGGATAAGGTATAACGAGACTGGAGATGATGTCGAAACAAATAACACTTTTCTGATATTGATTACTCCATTGCGTGATATAGAGAGACATAGAGCTGAGCTATTCACCTAGAATATATTTAAAATGTTCCGTGATGAAATCTTAGAAGAGGGGAAGTTGGATGTGAAGGACGTGTTCCCTTTGCCAGATGGTCAGAAATGTTGCTATATTCATAAATACAAGGTGAAGGATAGATCGTGGATAGTAACACACAATCCAGTGGATGCCGTAATGATATGTTCTTGCATGAAGTTTGAGTCGTTCAGGCTACCTTGCTGTCACATGATATGTGTTATGAAAACTGAAAATTTAATGCAAATTCCCTCAACTTTTGTGCTGTATAGATGGACAAGGGCTGCAAGTAAGGATGGTCAGCTATGGCGTTAACCCTCAATTGATAACACTACAACACAAACTGCTTGCTATGGGATATTAAGTTTTTCTTACAATGAAATGTGTTTCTATGCCTCGCAATCAACCGAAGGTTTCAAAAAGGCTAAGGATGGATGTCTTTCGATGACGGGCCGTATTAAGGAGTTATATGAGAGGAATTACAACGATGGGGATGGAGATAAAGGGAAATATTCAATCCCACGACAATTTGGAGTAGAAGATCCTAATCTTGTGAAGACAAAAGGGAACCTGGGAAGGGCCTTGTCCAATTGTCGAAGACCAAGAAAATGTGGGAATTGCAAATACATTGGCCACACAAAGCGAACGTGTCCTAAGGTTCGGTTTAGTCGAACAATGGGTAGTAACTCAGTTGTAGATATAACCCACATCAGTGACCATGAGTACAATGTGGACTCATCGCCCATTCACTACAAAACAGGGTTGGCGGATCCAAGTACACCGCACATTAAGCAACAATGTCTATTTTTTGATGTTTCTCTTGATTCAAAACAACCTGTGGGCCAATACGGTAGTGTCGAAGCACAAGTGTGCAAAAATGATTCGACCACAATTGATAAGGTGAACCAAGTAATTGTATGATTTACTTATTCCCTTAATTTATTAGGTACGCAATACTAGCTTCTGAAAACACATCATTGGCAAGAACAGGGTAGATATGTCTGTAGTTATGATTTTGCACGGATTGCTGTACGTAACGTGTAAATAATTGCTAGTGTACAAGGCCAGGAAATGACACAATGTTGCTTAAGTACAAGGCCAGGAATAGTTAGTTTACATATTGTTTAGAGTGATTTTGTCATTTTTGTTTGCAGTGACTTGTCATTTTCAGAACTAAATGAAGGTGAGATATATATGGGCATCTGTTGTTTGTGTATTGTTTTGGATTGGAAATTGGCTTATGTTTGTATTCCAAGATTCCTATTGGGGGTTGCTTGTTTTTGTTCCAAATTTGGTTAGATCTAGTTGAAGGGTTGCTGCGGTGTGGTTGACAACTAATGATGTGTTTTGGCTTCGCATTGATTTGTTATGACTTGTTTTAGTAAATTAGTATTATATTTTTTCTTCTGATTAAAATATGAAATTTGTCCATGCGGTTTTGCAAAATTATATCCTAGCACATGCATTTTCTATATAATCCAAGTGTCAGCTAATTTTTAGGTATTGGTTGGACAAATTAGCCTAACGAACGAGTTTACTTTATGTCTAAGACGATTGGCATATGAATTACAAATTACGAACAGGAGTTGTGAAATAATTTCATGTTAACTATGAAAGTGATGGGGAAATTGTTAATAAAATTATGGTGGGCCTATATTGACAGCAACGAAACAGTAATTCAAAGATGACAATTTAAAGAAGAATAATCAAGCAATTGTGGTATTGGTTCGAATGCCTAAAAAAGGATGATGACTTGTTTGGATGAACTAATGGTAACAAAGTAAACAAGAGAAATGAACTTTCTGATATGAGTTGATGGTAACAAATTAGAAAAGATAAATCTTTGGTGATTTGAGGTTGAAATCAACAAAGTTCACCTAGTTACAAAGTACAAATTACAAGGGAAAAAACTACCTGTAAGTTACAATTTGAACTACTCTTAAATGTAGAATGTAAGTTGATGTGTTGTTGTTGATGTCCTCTCTCTCTATAAACCTTCTGGCCTTTATAGCTTTTCTTTCCCACGACCCCAGGATCTGTTGAACCTCCAACTGCTGCTGTGCAACTTCTGTAACTGCACTATCATTTCTAAGTCTTGAAACCACATAAAACCTTTACTTCTACCTGTTGAACTGCATATCCTTGAAGTTGCCACGTGTCCCCAAGTCCTTTTAGCCTTCCCTCGACAAATGCAAACTCTCACTTCGTTTGTGTTTCCTCTTGGAGACTGGTCACTAAGTTCATGATTAGTGCTACTAACTGCTCTACCAACTAAGTCAGGTGGCATGCAAGATTCAATGGTAGTTGATAACCCTTGTCATCTGATACTAAATATCCACTGTAGACTTGGCATGTGTCCTCAATTGAGTGGAGCACCTGTTGACAGGATTTGGCAAAAATAGGTGCAAACAGAAATTAAAAAAAAAAAAAAAAAAAAATCATAATTTAGCTTCAAATATTAGTCAACTTAAAAAAAAAATAATAATAAAAAAGTAATTTTCATTTTTATTATTATAAACCCGAAATGTATATTTTGTTTTCAATATAAATAAGTTGTGTATTGTGGTAAATGCAAGAAATCAATTGTGTTTAAGTCATTACAATATTAAAAAATGGTATTTCAAATATTAAGAAGTTTACCGACATTCAATTTGTTGATTAAATTACTGCTTGTGAAAATGGTTCAGGTTAATGAAAAATTTACTATGATTTGGATTGAAGGAAATCCAAATACTAAGATTTCAATTACGACATGGTAAGTACTCAGCTGTAATGCTTGTAGCAGGTTGAAACTGTAGGCTTTTGTTATCGCTCCAGCAGTGAGTTGCCCCCTCCAGTTATGGGTATAAGTTTTCCTTAAATATAACCTTAATGTTGGGGTTAAAAAAATAGCTTTTTCAACATCTATCTTTTGTTGAGCAGTGTTTGTCCTTTAGCTGAACATGGTTAGGCATTCTTAAGTTACAGAATTTGGTGTGTAATTGTTTGGACGTACTTGTGTTCATGAACCTGTCGACAGGTGGACTAGTGAAAGAATGACACATAATGGACTGAAAGTGAAATATTACCAAAGCAACCTAAGGGACAGATTGCATGAACTGCATGGTTATGTGCAAAAAATGGTGCAACCAACTCTGAACCACTTACTGGCCAAGTGTTGTGGTTCAGTAGCACACTTGGAAAGGATCGTGATTATGGTAAGTGGACAATTTTCTGTCAAACTTTAGTTCATAATGATGAGGGACATGTGGCAGCATGGTGGAAAGGAAGGTCAACCAGGAAGATTGAATATTTGGCAGAGTTTGAAGATTCAAAGTCAATGTGCAGTTACAGTGAGTGGCTAAGTGTTGTGGCTCAGTGGCCCACTTGGAAAGGATCGTGCTTGTGTTAAGTGGACAATGTTTTGTCAATTTTTGTCTCATAATGATGAGGGACATGCGCCAGCATGGTTGAAAGGAAGGTCGACAGGGTAGATTTAATAATTGTCAGAGTTGGAAGATTCAAGGTCAGGGGACAGTTACAATGGTAGTTATGGGATAGAAGTGTGAGATCATACAATAATGGGCCACAAAAAGAGTATATGGATATCAAAACCCACGATGTTGGCCGAAGATAGAACAACATCATCAACAACACAAGTTAAGAAGTTTATAATTCTTGCATAATTTAGGAGTAGTTTTATCATTAAACGAACAGGTTCTTCTAAAAACTGTATCGTTCAAACCCACGATGTTCTTTTGCTTTGTATGGTAGATTTTCAACTTGTACATTCCTTCAATGTTTCATGGCATCAAACCATGTCCAACCAAGATCCTTTTGCTGTTCTTTGAAGCCCAACTTGTTGAAGAAAGCAAAAGGTGCTTAGTTCTCTTCTTATGTATCAGACCATTGAGCTTACCATCATCATGAGCAGAGTCTTTTGAGTATCATCATTGGCGTGGCACAAGATTATATGGGCAACATTAAGTTCAACCTGCTTTAAGCACATGCCCACTTTCGCACTTGTAATCAACTGACGATATAAATATTGCACTCAATCAAATGCAAAGAAACATATTTGAGTTTCTTGTTTTGTTTTGAAATCAGTTCCTAGTCGTACATGTACACGTATTGTACTATTAAAACAACATGTATCTTTGTTTCGTACTTGGATTGTCCATGTAGTGGGTTGTACACGCAGTTTATCCGTGGCAGGACTTTCAGGTCCTGTCTTTAGGTGCATGTTCTTCATTGGAATCAGTATCCAAGTCCTACTTCTCAGGCATTTCAATCAGTTTGAATCAGTTGCCTGGTAACTTTGGTTTAATTACTCACTTGTAATTGTTGTGGATTTTGTGTCCAAAATAATAGGCATGATTTATAGTCAGACTTGAGCATGAAATGTTATTCCTTGTAAGTTGTAATACCAAACTCCTTTACATGCTTTAAGTTAGGATTGATTAGGAATTGGTGTTATGTTATTGTTTGCAGTAAAAAATTTGTACTTGTTTGTTCCTGTCGACACGTGGATCAACCACAACATGACATGTGTCAAAATCAATGTCAGAGTCCATCAGTTACACATATGAAAGGAGTTTAGTTTAACTGTATGTGAGGGCCCACATGGTGCAACAGTTACGAGGATATGGCATAACTAACTAGGTGGATTGCAGAAAAGGTCATTACCAGAATACAGAGTTTGACTTGTCGATGTGAAGCCCAGAATGTGGAGGGACAGTTGGAAACATAATAGTAAGGTGGTTTGATAGGAGAATTTCAGCAGTTTGTTGACCACATCAATTCTTGTCGACAGGTAGACCTCTATTGGTGCATTCTTGTCATTGCTATTTGTTTGTTTTGGAGAAAATTATGGCATTCAAAAACAAAGTCACAAAGAAAGGCATCGCTCAGTCACATCGGATTCGTACAAATTCAAGTGTAAGTGCTTCGATTTATTTATGAGATAGGTTTACATCAGCCCACCCAAACACGTATCCATAATTCCACTGATCGATAGAGTT